CTTCTTCCAAATGAACAGTCTCTCTCTCTTTTCTGAGCCACCTGAAGTTCAGGGCGGAGTCACATAAACATCCCCATGGCTATAACCATCAGGACTGTGCTTGGTCAGATGTTAAACAAGCACAGCACTGGTTCTCAAACAAGGTCGACTGTAACAACTACCTGGTTATGCCTATGTTTCTCAAGGTCCCAGCACTCTATAATCAGCAGGTGGCAAAGCCAGCCAGGCCTGTGTCTTTCCCTTCAAGGTGATAAGTTCCTCCAGGCCCCAGTGGATCCAGAAGTATTGCCTCAGAGCCGGAAACCAGAAACTACAGTCACAAACCATAGAAGTCTATCTGTATTCTATTTTACTGGGGTTGAGCTTACATTCAAATTACAAGACTTCCCACTCTTCCCTTTCCAAAGGCAGACAAATCGCACCCCATGGTCACTACAACCCTGGCCCACAAGGAATACTGCCAGAGTTCCACTGATGTTCCCTTAAGACCCAAGGGTTCTTTGATCAGTTTGTGGTGAATGATGCCTGGCCTGGGAGTCACTTTTCAGGGCAGTAGGCTCCCCTCTGGTCCAGGGCAGGTCCAGAAATGCCATCCAAGAGCAAAGTCCTAAAATCAGAGACCCCAAGAGCCTACTTGGTGCTCTACCCCCATGGCTGTGCTGGTACCTAAAGGTACAAGACAAGTCCCCTTTACTTTTTTCTACTTTTCTCAAGTGAAGAGTCTTGTTCTATAGCCATTACATCTGGGAATGTACTGAGACTCACCTAATGCCAACACGTCTCAGAGTCTCACCCAAAGCCCTCAATGCAGTCCCTGGGTATCACTAATGGTTATTCAGGGCCCCAGGGCTCTTCAGTTAGCAGGTGATGAATCCTGCCAGGAATGGGTCCTTCCCTTCAAGGCTATAGGTGCCCTTCTGGCTCCAGGCATGTCTAGAAATGTCATCTTGGAGCTAGGGCCTGGAAAGCGGTGGGGGGCATCATGACTCTGACCTGTGCCCTATCTTACTGTGGCTAATCTGGTATCCAGGATGCAAGACAAAGTCCTCCCACTCTTCCATCTCCTCTCCTCAAGCAGAGGGAAAGGGTCTGTTTTGGAGCTGCAAGCTGAGCAGTCTGGATTAGGGGAGGGGTGACTGCCACACTCCCTTAGCTACCCCAGCTGGTGTCTCAATAGAACATGTGCCACCCCCAGTCCACAGTCTCTGGGCCTAGTTCAGCACTAGGACTTACCTAGGAGTTTCAGTCCTTGTGGCCTAGATTGCCTCTCAAATTTAATTAGAGTACCAGAACACTTTAGCCTACAATAGGGGGCTTATGGGAACCCAAGTATTGATCACTAGGATTAGGAATTCCCCTCTGGCTAGGGCTGGTTTAAATAATCCCTCCATGGGTAGGCATCAGTTTGAGTTTGGTCCAATTTTGCTTTCTATTATAACAAGACGGCACTGAGTTCAGTGCCTCAAAATTCCTGCACTGACTATCCCTCTCCGCAGTACACAGAATCACTCTCCACACCATGTCACCACTGTCAGGGAATGGGGGAAGGGTGGTGTCAGTGACTCACGAATGTTTTCCTACCTGTCCAGTACTCTTTCAGCGATATAAATTTAAAACCATGTACTCTGAGTGCTCTTATGCAGTTCTTACGGTGGTTTTTTTTATGTGTGTAGATAGTTGTTAAACTGGTGTGTTGCTGGTAGTGTCTTCTATTCTGCCATCTTGTTCCACCCTCCATCTACGTCTTTTTAATATACAAGGAGCTCTTAAATACAAAGAAAAAAAGACCAAATGCAAGTGGGCAAAATATAGAAATAGAATTCACAGAACAAGAATTGCAAATAGCCAATGAACATTTTTAAAAGATGCTCAACTTCACTCACAGCAAAGTGCAAACTAAAACTTATCTATCTGTTCCCCTGTGAGATTCAGAAAAACCCCTACATTTGACCACAATCCCTGTTGATGAGGCTGTGTTATAAAATGCACACTGCTATTCAAATTGCCAAAATTTCCACAAAATACTTGGAAATATATATATAAATTGAAATTTGGCAATATCTATCAAATACCAGCATATTTCTCCTTTAACTCAACAATTCCACTCCCAGAAATTACCCTGAAAATGTACCTCCACAAATAAGAAACATTATACAAAGTTGTTTACTTATAGTACTAGTAAGTATACTGGAAATAGCCCAAATGTCTATCAGTAGGGTGTTGACTGATAAAACAGTTCAGGTAAATAATGCACTACTAAGTATTCATAAGTAAAGGATGAAGAAATATATAGCACTAACACAGAGGACACTATAAGATATCTTATTAAATAAATAAATTCACTTAATTCTTTTACAAAGCATTCTATATTACATTTAGAGAAAGGCAGGAAACTGAGACTCATGGATTATGCACATCCTTATATATTTTTAGGATTTATTTTAAAAACATAGACTGGAATGACAAACCAGAAAGCAGCAAAAACAAACAAACAAACAAAAAAACCCACTTATGTTGCAGAATGAAATAGGGCAGGGAGGATAAGGATACAAACCAATCTATGAAATGTTTTTCCATCTGTTTACTGCTCAAGGAAGTAAGAGAGGACACAAACAGACAGAAAAACATTTCATGCTCATGGTTAGGAAGAATCAATATTGTAAAAATGACCATATTGTCCAAGGTAATTTACAGATTCAATGCTATCCCCATCAAGCCACCATTGACTTTCTTCACAGAGTTGGAAAAAACCACCTTAAACTTCATATGGAACCAAAAAAGAGCCCAGACATTTCTAAGCAAAAAAATAAAAAAAAAAGAAAGAAAACAAAGCTAGAGGCATCCACTACCTGACTTCAAACTATACTGCTGTAAGCCTACAGTAATCAAAACAGCATGGTACTGGTACCAAAACAGAGATACAGGCCAGACGACAGAAGACATTTTTGCAGCCAATGAAAAGAAGATCATCACCGGTCATTTGAGAAACACAAATCAAAACCACATTGAGATACCGTCTCACTCCAGTTAGAATGGCGATCATTAAAAAGTCAGGAGACAACAGATGCTGGAGAGGATGTGGAGAAATAGGAATGCTTTTACACTGTTGATGCAAGTGGAAATTAGTTCAACCATTGTGCAAGACATTGTGGGAATTCCTCAAGCATCTAGAACAAGAAATAGCTTTTGACCCAGCAATCCCATTACTGGGTTTATACCCAAAAGATTATTAATCATTCTGTTATAAAAACACATGCACATGTATGTTTATTGCAGCACTGTTCACAATAGCAAAGACTTGGAACCAACACAAAGGCCCATCAATGATAGACTGGATAAAGAAAAGGTGGCACATATACGCCATGGAATGCTATGCAGTCATAAAAAAAATTAGTTCATGTCCTTGCAGGGACATGGATTAAGCAGGAAACCATCATTCTCAGCAAACTGACACAAGAACAGAAAGCCAAACACCTCATGTTCTCACTCATAAGTGGGTGTCGAACAATGAGAACCCATGGACGCTGGGAGGGAAACATCACACACAAGGGCCTGTTGAGGGGGTGGGAGCCTAGTGGAAGGATAGCAGGGGATGCGAGGATAGGGGAGGAATAGCATTAAGAGAAATACCTAATGAAGATGATGGGGTGACAGATGCAGCAAACTGCCATGGCACATGTATACTTATGTAACAAACCTGCACGTTCTGTACGTGTATCCCAGAACGTAAACTATAAAAAAGAAAAAAACATTGTCCAAAGGGAAAACAAGGAAAGAAACTGGACTAGTATTTTATATATTCGAAACCATAAATCATAAAAAGTTTCAAGGTATTCCATCAGACTTGATAACATAAAGGACTATGCTAGCACATAATACCTAAAAGAGTACCAGATCAACATGAAACATCTGTCTGTAAAAAGACAGTATAGAATTAAAAGATCACTCAAATAGGAAGTATTTGATCCATATAAGCCTACAAGCAGTCAGCATCAAGGACACTTAAAATACATATAAGATGAGATATAGACACATCCCAGAAGGAAAACCAAACTTCAGAAAAGGAACATGAGCAAATGACATTTCACGAATGAAGCATCAATGGCCAATTAACCTAATAAGTAATCAGAGAAATATAAATTAGAACTACAATGAGCTATCAGATTACCAATAACAGGAATAGATTGAGATACTGTTAGTGAAAACATGTAATAACTAAGACTCTTACCCCTTGCTAAGAGGCATACAACTGGCACAACCATTTAGGAAAATAATTTTGCATTACCTTGAAGTTGCAAAGTTGTGCATATCATATGTCTAGCAATTCTACTCTTAGAAATATATCCTAGAGAAACATTTTATATATGCGTGCAAGGAGAAATGTCAGCCATAGTCCAGGTAGCATTGTTCATCATAGGAAAATATTCAAAACAACCTAAATATCCATTGTTAGAAGATGCATATGTTGTGATATATTCATACAATAGAATGCTGTATAGCTGGAAAAATAACGAATGTACTAGAGCTACAAGTTTCAAAGTTAATGAAGCACAAAATATAATACTGGGTTAAAAAAAAAAGCAAGTTGCAGAAAAATATATAGAGTTGGATCAATGTGTACAAAATTCAAAATAAAGCAATGAAAGTCTGTGTTATAACAAAAAACAAATCCAAGATAATAGTTACCTCTAGAGGGCAGGATATGAAATACAACTGAAGAAATCTTCCAAAGTATTATGTATTGTTTCGTAAGCTAGATAGTGAATACAAGGCTTACCTGTTTTATTATTTGCTAAATTGTACATATGCATTAATATACTCATTATGTATATTTAAGAAAATATAAAGGTGATTTTAAAGAGTTTATTGCATTAGTAGTACTAAAATATCTAGGATATATATTTGTTGGCAAACATCTAAAAAAATCACTTAAAATTTAACTGATTTCTATTTGTTAGTTTTTCATATAAAATAAAATTAACTTATACTGTTATACTGACAGATTTTCTCAGTAGATGTTGGCCTGCTTTTTAAAGAACATATTCTTCCTTCTTCCAACAGAATCTAGGGGAAAACAAAAATGTTAACAATTCCTAAGTATACATAATAATATTCACTTATATCTACCCTCTTTATACCACCAATTCATTTTATAGTACTTTTCTTTTACGTTACTTCAGTTCAACATGGTTTATTTTAAAACCACAAAGAAAAAATAGCCTGTGGTAAACAATAAAATGAAATTCAAATTGGTTTAAAAACAATAAGCAACAGAATAAACACTTGCTAAGAAATGAATTACTGACAAAATGAAAAAGCTTCTAGTAATCATAGTAAAATGCAGCTAAAGAAAGACAAGCATAGTAAGGCAATTTGGAAATTTGTTATTCTTTACTTAATTTCCTAAGTTAGATCTCTCCTTAGATAAATTTCTTAGATTTCCTTTAGGGCTTACTATATGAATCATGTTTGCAAATGTATCATGGGCTTATAGAATTTTTTTGTATATATTCTCTATTGGTAGGACATAGGATTACAGATAGACAAAATAAAGCAGAAACTGTCTAGCCACTTGCCAAGCCTGACTCCCTTTTCTCTTGGACATACAGCTAGAGCATATTTCCCAGCCTCCCTTGGAATTGATTTAGACATGTGACTTAAGTTCTGGTCATAGGCAGGAGTAATGTAAACTACTGCAGGTCCTGGTCCATAAAAATCTTCCCCACAATCTTCCACTTCCTTTTCCCTACTGCTCTCTGATAACAATATATATATTAATAGCCACTAGTTTAGGGCCTGAATAACTACATGGAGCAGAGCCTTTTCTCTAACCCTACTATTTTATCATTTAAAAATCTTTTCTCTTCAACACAGGACACATTCAAGCCCCAAACCTGCAACAAGAACACAAAACTTTCAAGAAAGCTCTATAGACTCCAAGGCAGGCCTGTACTCCAATGATCTGTTTGAGAAGAACAGCAAAGATCTTCCCAAATGATAAGACACTAAGTTATTCACGAGCTTCCTCCATCCTCCAGGATGGCAAGCCTTCACACTGCATGCCCAGCAGTATTTTATAGATGCTATGGATCAGAAAAGCTGTATCTCCTATTTTTCTCTTTTCAGAATGGGCTTTTTATTGCATTTATATGGTCTTTGCTCCAATATTATATATGTTTTCTTTATAATACATTAAATATGTATTTTTCTATTTGTTTGCTTTCAACCTTTATTATATTCTAGATATGTTTCCTGCAAACTATATGGATTCTTTTCTTCATAATTTGATATTCTTTCAATCTTGAAAAGAATTCATATTCAATATATAAATTCATACTCAATATGTTAATTGCTAAGTGGGTTTCATTCCATACACTTTATTGCTATTTCATTTCTTCCCATCTTGATCAGGTTTCCCAGTGTGACATCATCCCTCTTGAATTTTGTTCTTCCATGTCTCCACTTCTCTGGTGATTGCCTTTCCATTTTAACAACTGTATTTAAACTTTATTCCTCTACTAATCCTTTAAAATTAAATAATTATACTCCTCCAATACTTTGTTCTTTCCTATTCTCTTCCACTCCCACCAAAGGCTCTTGAGAACACCACATGTCCCCATCCAAGAGGTTTTTCTGTTACCTTGTTTTAGCCCATATGTTTATTCATCAATTCTTCCTCAGCAGAATCTACCAGTTTTCATTTTACCTAACAAGCGGGCAGGTGCAACCCAGCCTTCTTTCTGCTCCTACCCCTTCATTCCATCTCATTGGTGACTCCTGCCTTGGCCCCTCTGGTAGAATCTAATTTTAGTCAGGGTTCTATTGCACCTTTGGCCATGGGCAGGCATCACAATTTAAAAGTCCCAACATCTGCTCTATCTGAAGAACTCCTCGTAGCACCTGATTCCTTTTGGGTCACACCAATGGGCTTTTCTCTTTTTTGACTAGATCTAGCCACATTCAAGCTGCCAGCTTTTTGACATAGGTGTTGTGAAACAGAATTTGTTTTTGAAGTATTATACTCTGTTGATAATTCATCTTTTTAGAGAATACATTTGTATTATTCATATTTGGGAAAATATGAATTATTTAACGGAGTAACAGGTCAGCATCCATCACTACTACCACATTCTCCTCCTTGAAAGTATCTCCTTTTTCTTTCCTATGACACTATTCTTCTAGTACTCCTCAAACATCTCTAGTAGCTCAGTCTCAGCCTGTTTCTGGTTCCTCTTGGACTGCACACCCTCCAATCTGAAATGTGCTTTCTCAGGCATCTGAAAAATTTTATTCTTTTTCTATACACTTTCTCTTGAGAATCATACACATGGATGTAGTCAATTATCTCCTATTAATTAAAGGCTAAAAAATCTCTTCTGATCTCAAACCCTGTATATATAATTGTCCACTATGTATCTCCACATATATCACAGGTTTTTTTCAGAAGACCCTCATGTGAGCTCAGTGGGTCAAACTTATCTCTATCAGAAAGCTGCTCCTCCTCTGAATCAGAGTATTATTTTTAAAAAGTATATCACAAAATGTATAATGCCAAACACAATCATTTCTCTCTTGCGTAATAATGTAAAGTGAGTGTTGCTGGTAAGCAGGCAATTTTCCTCCACGTAGTGACTGAGAGACCCAGTCCTTTCCATCTTGTGGCTCCATTATCCCTTGGGGCCTCACTGCCATCTAGCCACCAAAGGAAAGACAGCATGGAAAAATAATTCCCTTTTCTTATAAGCCTTGACCTAAAATGATGCACATCACTTCTCCTAACATTTCATTAGTGAGATCTAACCATATGGCCACATGTACATGGATGGATGTTAGGAAGCATGTTCCTTGGCTGGGAAGCCATTTCACAGTGGCAGTTCTATTTCATTAAAAGGGACACATTCTAAAAAAAAAAAAAAAAAAAAAAAAAGAATTTTGTTGGAGAGTTAAGCTTTCCCGCCACCTCTTCCTATGGTTCCAATCTTGTTCAATGGCATAATCACATCAACTACCCATTTACCCAAATAACAAATAAATCCAGGTCTTTCACAATTTCTTGCTTCTCTCTTAACTAATCACCGGTCACCAAGTACTACCAATTCTAGATCTCAATCTCTTCTCTCACTTTCGTCCTTACTACTACTGCAAAACTTCAAGCTCTCCTTATTTCTTCCCCTAACTTGAATTGTTCCACTTATCAAATCCCTCCTCATTCTAACTAGAGTCAACTTTTTTATTACTCTGATGTCATCGTATTCCTCCACTAAAATTTATTTAATGGATCTCTGTTTAATAATCAAGAATTAAACTTATATATCACACAAGGCCATTTATGACCTACCTCTTTCTATTGTCCAGAATTACCTTGGCCACTCCTGCACCCCTTATAATTAGTATTATAAATAGTAGCTATAAAATAACTAGAATGAAACAAGGTACTTGAAATTTCTAAAACAGGCTGTACTCTAACATCTTTGTTTGTTTGTTGCTACTTATTCCCAGTTTCATCATTTGACAAACAACTTATTGATACTGTGCTCAAAAGTTACCTCCATCACATCTTCCTTATGTTTACAGATGAAACTTAGAAGTGTCTTTTATTAATAACCCAATACAAACTTCAATTCAAGCAATTTATCTAAAAGTATTATATTTTTTTCTCTTTCTGACTAGCCACTAGATAAAGACTTCTTAAAGGCAGATTGCAAGTCCTTTCATCTCTGTACCTTGCAGAGTCTAGTGCATTAAATTATAATCTTGAGAACAAAGGGCCATTTTATCTCAAGTGTCTAGCATATAAGAGATACTCAAAATGAATTCATAATATGTACTCAATATTTATTGAAGGAAAAAGGGAAAACAGTATAGTTGAAAATATCGAGTCAGGTAAGACAGTAGTTTGAATCCTGGCTTTCCTATCTTGAGTGTGTGACCTCAAACAAGCTATCTAATCTCTCTAAATTTCAGTCTCTTTTGCTGTGAAGACTTTAGTGACTCAGACTCCTGTAGAATAGAAATAAACTACATAAACTTCCTAGCACTATTGTAAAAATTACACCTTCATTATGGCAAGGGATCATAACATTACATAACCAGTGTTTATAGATGTTTCAATGCTCTGACAAATATAAAACTACATAGCATATTTAAATCTAAAGCATTTTATTGTTGAAAGATGATATAGCTTGTATCTTTGGATGTCCCCCAGCAAATCTCATGTCGGATTTTAATTTGACCCAATGGGAGGTGACTAAATCCTGGGAAGTAGTTTCCCTGAATGGTTTCCTACCATGCCCCTTTGTACTGCCCTTACAATAGTATAGTTCGTTCTCATGAGATCTGGTTTGTTAAAAGTGTGTGGCACGTCCTGCCTCACTCTCTCTTGCTCCTATCCTTAGTGTTTGAGATGCCTCACTCTCCCTTCACCTTCCACCATAATTGTAATTTTTCTAAGGCTTCTCCAGAAGCCAATCAGATGCCAGAATCATGCTTCCCAAACAGCATGTGAAACTGTGAGCCAATTAAACCTCTTTTCTTTATTAATTACCCAGTCTCAGGTATTTCTTTATAGCAATGTGAGAACAGAGTAAATACAGAAAATTGATGCCAGGAGTGGCATTTAAATATAAAGATACCTGAAAATGTGGAAGCAATTTTGGAACTGGGTAATGGGCAGAAGTTGGAAGAATGTGGCCAGTTCAGAAGAAGACAGGAAGGCAAGGGAAAGTTTGGAACTTCCTAGAGACTGGTGGCTGAAAGACTATGATCAAAAATGCTGAAAATGCTGATAGTGATATTGATAACAAAGTTCAGGCTGCGGAGGTCTCAGATAGAAATAAGGAACTTATTGAGAAATGGAGCAAAGGTCACTTTTGTTGTGTGTTATCAAAGAACTTGGCAGCATTGTGCCCCTGCCCTAAGAATCTGTGAACTTGAAGGTGATGCCTTAGGGTATCTGGCAGAAGAAATTTCTAAGCAGCAAAGCATTCAAGATATGGACCAACTGCTTCATATGAACAGCCTATGTGTAAGCAAAGAAATGATATAAAACTGGAGCTTATATTTAAAAGGGAAGCAGAGAATAAAAGTTTAGAAAATTTGCAGCCTGGCCATGTGGTAGAATATAAAAACTCATTTCCCAGGAAGGAATTCAAGCAGGCTGCAGAAATTTGCACAAGTTAAAAGGAACTAAGTGCTAATAGCCAAGATAACAGGGAGAAGGCCCCAAAGGCATTTCAGAGATCTTCATGGCAGCCCCTCCTATCACAGGCCTGAAGGCCTAGGAGGCAAGAATGGTTTTCTGGACCCAGCTCAGGGCCCTGCTCCTCTGTGCAGCCTCAGTACACTACTCCCTGTATCCCAGCCACTCCAGCTTGAGCCATGACTTAAAGGGGCCCAGGTACAGCTCAGTGCACTGCTTCAGAGGATGCATGCTGTAACTGTTGGTGGCTACCATATGGTGTTAAGCCTGTGGGTACACAGAGTGTAAGAGTTAAGTCTTGAGAGACTTCACCGGATGTATGGGAAAAGCCTAGATGTTCCGGCAGAAGTCTGTTGCACAGGAGGAAATGTCATGGAGAATCTCTACTAGAGCAATGTGGAGAGGCAATGAGGGATTGGAGCCCCCACGAAGAGTCCCCAGTGGGGCATTGCCTAGTGGAGCCATGAGACGAGGGCCACCATCCTCCAGACCCCAGAATGGTAGCTTGCACCTGTCTCCAGGAAAAGTCACAGGCACTCAGCACCAGCCCATGAAAGCAGCCACGGGGCTGAACCTTCAAAGCCACAGAGGTGGAGCTGCCCAAGGATTTTGGAATCCACCTCTTACACCAATGTGTCTGGATGTGAGATACAGAGTCAAAGGAGATTATTTTGAAGCTTTAAGATTTATGACTGCCCTGTTGGGTTTCAGACTAGCGCAGGGCCGGTAGACCCTTTCTTTTGACCTATTTCTCTCTTTTGGAATGGGAATATTTACCCAATGATTGCACCCCCATTGAATCTTAGAAGTAACTACTTTGTTTTTTTATTTTACAGGCTCATAGATGGAAGGGATTTGCCTTGTCTCAGAGGAGACTTTGAACTTTTGAGTTAATGCTGGAATGAGTTAAGACTTGGAAGGACTGTTGGAAATGCATGATTGTATTTTGCAATGTGAGAAGAACATGAGATTTGAAGGGCTGGGGTGGAATTATATAGTTTGGATCTATGTCCCTGCCAAATCTCATTATCAAATTGTAATCCTGAGTGTTGGAGGTGGGGCTTGGTGGGGAATGATTGGATCATGGGGGGGGCAGTGATTTCTCCTGAATGGTTTAGCATCATCTTACTTGGTGCTGTGCTCACAGTGAGTTCATTCTCCCATAATCTGGTCATTTAGAAGTCTGTGGCATCTCCCTACTCACTCTCTCTTGCCCTGCTCCTGCCATATGAGACTCCTTGTTCCCCCTTTGCCTTCTGCTATAATTACAAGTTCCCTGAGGCCTCCCAGAAACCAATCAGATGTCAGAATCATACTTCCTGTACAACCTGCAGAAACATGAGCCAACTAAATCTCTTTTCTTATAAATTACCCAGTCTCGGGTATTTCTTTATAGTAATGGAAGAATTAAGTAATACAGAAGAAGTTTTGTAATATTTTTAAAAAAGTATTTAAAATGTCCTCAAGATTGGTTTATCTCAATTGAAGCATATAAGAGTCTCTAAATATGTGTTTTTCTTTCTAGATCTAAGTTATAACTTCCTTAGAATAAAAAAGTTTAAGAAAAATAGTCCATCTAAAAAATGTATGAATAAATGTTAAGCTTAAATCAAAGTAAACCGATAAATACAGAAATACGATAACACAAACTGACTTAATTGAGAAGATAATGTGAGAACTGCACTTTACCTTATCAAGTCCAAAGTCCCATGACTGCTTAGAGTGCATTTCTTCCGAAGGTATATTTCTCCTAAGGATTATAAATACACAGTATTAAAGTTTGTTGTATTCCCTCTGGGAATTACTGTTCTAAATTATAGTTCCCAAACTTGGCTTCAGATCAGAATTGTATGGGAAGCTTTTTTTTTTTTAGATGGGAGTTTCGCTTTTGTTACCCAGGCTGAGCTGGAGTGCAATGGCGCAATCTCAGATCACTGCAACCTCCGCCTCCTGGGTTCAGGCAATTCTCCTACCTCAGCCTCCTGAGTAGCTGGGATTACAGGCACGCACCACCATGCCCAACTAATCTTTTGTATTTTTAGTAGAGATGGGGTTTCACCATGTTAACCAGGATGGTCTCCATCTCTTGACCTCGTGATCCACCCGCCTCAGGCTTGAGCCACTGCGCCCAGCCAGGAAGCTTTTTTAAAAGTAAAGATTCATAAGCTCCATGCCAAGGAGCCCACTTATTATGTAGAGGTCAATCTTGTATTCTATAGTTTAAAATCACTCCCTGAAGTAATCTTGACCTTCAGTCAGGATTGAGAACCATGTTTTAAATTGCTTTAATAAAATGTTTCATAAGTCTATGTTTTAATTTTATGTGCCAATCCTGTTAAAACTGAATCTTTTTAATCAATCAATATTTTTAATAATTCCACAAGAAATCACTTCCAGAATATGAATTTATTCTAGCTCATGATTTCCGATCAGAAAGATTTGGCTAAACTGCAACTATTACCAAGAAAGTTAGGACTATTCAGAAACTACTAGCTAAAATAAACTTTTTTTTAGTTACTTAAAATTGCAGGACATTATTCAGAAAAGCCTGGAGGACAGTTCTCAAACTCTAAGGAATAAATTTAATATCAACATATAATGGATGAGTGTAAAAATCACCTTAAATTCAGAACATTTTGTATACCAGCTGCAAGAGGAGAAAGAAAAATCTGGTGGAATATTATTGTTTTCAATGTATGGGTAGACGAGATTGTAATCTTGAACAGAGAGAAAACATGGAGTCTCTGAGAGGTAATTGTTGGCAATGAAGAGAGTGCTCTATTCCTAGAATGTACACTGTCCTATAATTTGCTGATATGCTTGCTTATCACTAACATCTGAATTCTATCACTCCCCATAGCCCTTCTACCAAGCAAGCAACCTTCCCATTGAGAGCTGTATGAAAGCAAGAAAACATGCTTTTTCATGTCAGTAAGCCTTCCTATGTATGTTACCTTTCTATTTCTTAATCAACTGACATTCTGGTGGATATGAGTTTCTTGGACACACTGAGTCAATTTCTTCAAATCTAATCGACACTATTAGATAAGAAGGTATGTGGGAGCTGGCAAATATGAGCAGCACACTCTCAATAGGGTGATATTATCAAGATTGTGACTTCTGGTATGGTTCCTTGCAGAGCAGGTTGCCTGCCCACCCTCAGATGGCAATATGCCTACCTCACTTTGCATCAATTCAACCTTCATCATGCATCATACTAGATACTGATTTGTATTCACCAGATTTACCTAAAAACTTACATAGAGTTCACTGGATATTTCTGAATGCTTTTCTGTGATGTCTTCTCTTTGTAATCGTTTTCCAGTTTTCCTTAAAAAATAAAAGTATGCACTAAGTTAAAAACTTAGCATAGTCTATTTTCATTGTTTAATTTGACGCATATTACCATGACACATACAGAGGAAAACCACTGGTCCACAAAGTTATATAATAGTTAGCTATTCTATCTTTGGTCCACAGTGTTATATAATAGATAGCTATTCTATCTTTGGTTTTGTTCTCCTCCAAATACATAAACATACATACAAATATGAGACTTGTGTATGTGTAAATTTACAAATATATATAGTAAAGCTGAAAGAAAAAAAAGAATAGGTTATTGGATTTTCCATGTACAATACCAACCTTTTCTTTCAGAGCTGGCTGGGTAGTAATCTTTCTCAATAGATGTACTAAGATCATTTCTTTCATTATTGTTGTACTCTTTCTGATAATTCTTGTTTGGCTGATATTTTTCTGGATAACTTGTTTTATTCAGAGTTGAATTACTAAAAGTCAACTCTGGAACTGTAAAAATGTTTCTAAGGCATCTGTCACTGAAATCATTTTTCTCAGAACTAGTGACTACACAAATGTCTCCCATACTATCATAATCACATTTGTTAAATGATTTTTTTAGCCTTTGCTGATCTATGTTTAATAAATTGATCATATTTTGACTAACAAAAGGGTCACAATTCTCTGATAGAAGGTTAGGAATAGACTGGTTCACATCTTCAAGAAAATGTAAAGCTTCTTTTCTATTTTCCCCGCAAATATGCTGTATTGAGTGTTTTTCAGTAATGTAGTCTGACTGTCTTCTTTCATTCATGCTTCTACAATCTTCATCCATAATTACAGCAGGTCGTTTAGTAAGTAAATTCCTATTTCCTGGACTTTGGGACAAACAAAAACATATTTATCAAAAAAAGGCATGAATAATTTGCATTTAGAAACACTTCCTTTAAATTCTTAGAGGACACATTTAGTTGCTACTAACATTTGCCTAGATTCTATTTTTATTTTTATATTTAAATAAATAATATTGCTTTGGGTGAAAATTTATATAATGTGCTCTTATGACTTATTGGGCATTAAAATAATCTATGGTCAGTTTATTACAACATAAAATGTTAGCACGTGGTTAATTAAAACATGGCCAACCTATAGTATATCCTCTGTAATAAAATCTAAAGTATAAACTAGACAACCACTGTATGTCGCTGCTGTTCCATTTAACCAGAGAAAGATATTTTGAAGACTGTGTAGAGAAAATTTATCACCAGTGTTAACACATAAAATCAAATAGTTATGAGACCATTATAACATATTTTTCAATCTAATATGGATATAAAAACAATTATAAAGTTCCCAAGGAAATGTAAACACAAATGTGTATATAAGTAAAAAAGCCAAGAGCTAAAGTGAATTATAGAAAAACAGATTTGATGAATTAGATAGCTTGTAAGTTCTATTCTAATACAAAAATAATAATTCTAGGTTAAATCCAATTTGCATACAAGAATCAAACTTATAATGGAAAATAATTATAAATCAAGATGTTTCTTATTTTATTGTTGGTGACTATCTACAAATTTATTTGGAAGGGTTGTTCCAGAAGTTGGAGATATCGAAAAAAATTAGAAAAAAAAACAAATACAGACTGCTAAAACCCTGATTTCCAGTCTTATTTTTAAGTTATTTAGCAAATAATTGATGATCACCTACTGTGTTCCAGATACTAGGCCATGTATTGGTGATAAAGATAAAATAACTCAGCTTGTTGTTGAAGAGATTAATGTTTTACCCATGAATGTTCACAGCTCATGATCCTATGTTGCTTCTCAATGAGAGCCTTATTAGTGTTTTAGACGGAATGATGCTATTTTGCTATACCAAAAGGCATAATCTATAGTATGCACTAATATACACCATTAGCATGAGAAAAATATCTATTACTCTACACAAAAAAGAGGTAAATGCACTTTATAAGATATTAAGCACGTTATAAATGTAAATCATTATTATTTTATTTTTCTTTCAAAAGATTGTGGAGAACAGGTGGTGTTTGGTTACATGAATAATTTATTCAGTGGTTATTTCTGAGATTTTGGTGCACCCATCACTAAGCAGTGTACACTGTACCCAATGTGTAGTCTTTTTTCCCGCCTCCCATCCCCCACCCCTCCCATGGAGTCCCCAGAATCCAATATCTCAATCTTTTTTTTTTTTTTTTTTCAGATGGAGTTTTGCTCTTTTCATCCCAGGCTGGAGTACAGTAGCATGATCTTGGCCCACTGCAACCTCCACCTACTGGGTTCAAGCAATTTTCCTGCCTCAGCCTCTTGAGTAGCTGGGATTACAGGTGTGTGTCACCATATCCAGTTCATTTTTGCATTTTTAGTAGAGACAGGGTTTCACCATGTTGGCCAAGCTGGTCTCGAACTATTCACCCCTAATCTCAGGTGATCCCCCCACCTCAGCCTTTCAAAGTGCTGGAATTATAGGTGCAAGCCACCATGCCTGGTCCATTATATCAATCTTATGCCTTTGTGTCCTCATAGCTTAGCTCCCCCTTATAAGTGAGAACATACAGTGCTTTGTTTTATATTCCTAAGTTACTTCACTTAGAATAATGGTCTCCAACTCTATCCAGGTTGCTGTGAAAGCTATAATTTCATTCCTTTTCATGGCTGAGTAGTATTCCACAGTGTGTGTGTGTGTGTGTGTGTGTGTGTACACGTTTTCTTAATCCACTTGTTGGATGATGGGCATTTAGGCTGGTTCCATATTTTTGCAGTTGTGAATTGCACTTCTATAAACATGCACATGCAAGTGTCTTTTTCATATAATATCTTATTTATCTCTGGGTAGATACCTAGTAGTGGAATTGCTGGATCAAATGGTAGTTCCACTTTTAGTTCTTTAAGGAGTCTCCATGCCGTTTTCCATAATGGTTGTACTAGTTTACAAACCCATCAGCAGTATAACAGTATCTGCTTTTCACGACATCCATGCCAACATCTATTATTTTGTCACTTTTTAATTATGGCCATCCTTGTAGGAGTAAGGTGGTCATTGCATTGTGGTTTTGATTTGCATTTCCCTGCTCTTTAGTGAGATTGAGCATTTTTTCATATGTATGTTAGCCATTTATATATCTTCTTTTGCAAATTGTCTATTCATGTCCTTAGCCCATTTTTTGATAGGATTACTATTTTTCTTGCTGATTTGAGCTCCTTATAGATTCTGGATATTAGTACTTGCAGGTGCATAGTGTGGGAAGATTTTTCTCCCACCTTCTGGGTTGTCTATTTCTTTTGCTGTGCATATTTTTAGTTTAATTAGGTCCCATTTGTTTATTTTTGGTTTTGTTGCATTTGCTTTTGGTTCTTGGTCATCAACTCTTTGCCTAAGCCAATGTCTAGAAGAGTTTTTCCAATGTGGTCCTCGAGAATTTTTATGGCTTCAGGTCTTAAAGTCTTTGATCCATCTTGAGTTGATTTTTGAATAAGGTGAGAGATGAGGATCCAGTTTCATCTTCTACATGTGGCTTGCCAATTATCCTAGCACCATTTATTGAATAGAGTGTTCTTTCCCCACTTTATGTTTTCGTTTGCTTTGTGAAGATCAGTTGACTTTAAGTATTTGGCTTTATTTCTGAGTTCTCTACTATGTTCCATCTACATACCTATTTTTATACCAGTACCATGCTATTTTGGTAACTATAGCTTTGTAGTCTTCTTTGAAGTTGGATAATGTGATACCTCCAGATTTTTTTTTTTTTTTTTTTTTTTTTTGCTTAGTCTTGCTTTAGCACTAAACGGTTATTTTTTTGGGGGGGGTTCCAATATGAATTTCAGGATTTTTTTTCTAGTTCTGCTAAGAATGGATGGTGGTGTTTTTATGGGAAATGCATTGAATTTATAGTTGCTTTTGGCAGTATGATCATTTTCACAATATTGATTCTACCCATCCATAAGCATGGGATATGTTTCTATTTGTTTGTGTCATCTATGATTTCTTTAAGAGGTATTTTGCAGTTTTCTTTATAGAGATTGTTCACCACCTTGGTTAGGTATATTCCTAACCATCTTATTTTTTGCAGCTGTTGTAAAAGGGGTTAAGTTCTTGATTTGATTCTCAGCTTAATCACTGTTGAGGTATAGCAGTGCTACTGTGTTGTGTACGTTGATTTTGTACCCTCAAACTTTGCTGAATTCATTTAACAGATCTAGCTTTCTGGATGGGTCCTTTATTTCTTTGTCTGAATGCTCTGGCTAGGACTTCCAGTACTATGTTAATAGAAGTTGTGAAAGTGGGCATCCTTGTCTTGATTCAGTTCTCAGTGGGAATGCTTTCAACTTTCCCTTATTCAGTATAATGTTGGCTGTGGGTCTGTCATGGATGGCTTTTATTACCTTAAGGTATATCCTTTTTATGCTGATTCCGCTGAGGGTTTTAATCATAATGGGATTCTAGATTTTGTCAAATGCTTTTTCTGCATCTATTGAAATGATCATTTTTTTGTTTTTAATTCTGTTTATGTTGTATATATTTATTGATTTATGTATGTTAAACCATCCCTGCACCCCTGGTATATGAAAACCACTTGATGGTATCTTTTGGATATGCTGTTGAATTCAGTTATCTAGTAATTTGTTGAGGATTTTTGCACCTATGTTCATCAGAAACATTGGTCTCTAGTTTTCTTTCTTTTTTTTTTTTTTTTTTGTTATGTCTTTTCCTGGTTCTGGTATTAGGGAGATACTGGCTTCACAGAATGATTTAGGGAGGATTCCCCCTTTATCCTTTGGAATGGTTTCAGTAAAATTAGTACCAATTCTTCTTTGAATGGTTGATAAAATTCAGCTGTGAATCCATCTGGTTCCAAACTTTTTCTTTTGTTAGCAGTACTTAAAATTGCTCTTTCAATCTCACTACTTGTCATTGGTCTGTTCAGAGTTTCTATTTCTTCCTGGTTTAATCTAGGAGGGTTGTATATCTCTAGGAATTTATCAATCTTCTGTAGGTTAGCTAATTTGTATGTGCAAAGGTGATCATAGTAGCCTTGAATAATCTTTTGTATTTCTGTGGTATCAGTTGTAATATCTCCCATTTTGTTTCTAACTGAGCTTATTTGGGTCTTTTCTATTATTTTGTTAATCTTGCTAATAGTCTATCAATTTTATCTTTTCAAAGAACCAGCTTTTTGTTTCATTTATCTTTTGTACTGTTTTTTTCTATTTGTTTCCATTTCATTTAGTACTGCTCTGATCTTTGTATTTCTTTTCTTCTGCTGGGTTTGGGTTTGTTTTGTTCTTGTTTCTCTAGTTCCTTGAAGTATGACCTTAGATTGCCTATTTGTGCACTTCCAGAATTTTTGATTTAGGCATTTAATGCTATTAACTTTCCTCTTAGCAACACATTTGTCGTTTGCCAGAGGTTTTCATAGGTTATGTCACTATTATTGTTCAGTTCAAAGAATGCTTAGATTTCCATCTTGATTTCATTGTTGACCCAAAGATCCTTTAGAAGCAGATTATTTAATTTCCATGTATTTGTGCACTTTTAAGGGCTGCTTTTGGAGTTGACTTCCAATTTTATCCCACTGTGATCCAAGAGAGTAGATAATATAACTTCTATTATCTTAAATTTATTGAGACTTGTTTTGTAGCCGATCAAAAGTTCTATCTTGGTGAATGTTCCATGTGCTGATGAAAAGAATGTATATTCTGCAGTTATTGGGTACAATATTCTGTAAATATCTGTTAAGTCCATTTGTTGTAGTTTACAGTTTAAGCCCATTGTTTCTTTGTTTTCTGTCTTCATGACCTCTCTAATGTTGTCAGTGGAGTACTGAAATCCCTTACTATTATTGCATTGCCACCTACCT